GGCAACTATCGTTCTGTCTATTCTTCTATTGATATGTATCATATATATTATATACATACATACATACATATATATATATATACATATATACATGTACATATTTTCTTTAACCTGATTTAGGGCACCTACATCCCTTATTATGACTACCTCTGAATCTCCAAGTAGGGTACCAAGGGGGCTTGGGGCTTAGGGCTCGGGGTTTAGGCTTTAGGGTTTACGGTTTAGGGGGTTTAGGGTATTACTGGGTTTAAGGTCTAGGGTTTAGGGTTTAGGGCTTAGGGTTTAGGGTTTAGGGTTTCGGGCTTAGGCCTTCGGGGCCCTCAGATTACCAGGGCCCACGCCGGCATTCCGGGGTGAAGGGGCACCACTTGGGCACCACCCTGCTCAAGGAGGTGCACCTTACAAGACTCCCCGCTTCTTCTTCAAGGCACTTGGGAGTTTAGGGTTTAGGGTTTAGGGTTTAAGGTTTAGGGTTTAAGGTCTAGGGTCTAGGGTCTAGGGTCTAGGGTTTACGGTTTAGGGTTTGGGATTACGGTTTTAGGGTTTAGGGTTTAGGGTTTAGGGTTTTGGGTTTAGGGTTTAGGGTTTAGGGTTTAGGGTTTAGGGTTTAGGGTTTAGGGCTTCAAGCATCAGCCTTCGGGGTGTCAACAAGGTTTTTGGCTTCGGGTTTTCTGCTTCGGGCGTAGAGATTTTGTTAACTTGGTCTAGGGTTTATAGGACCCTAGACCCTAGACCCTAAACCCTAAACCCTAAACCCTAAACCTTAAACCCTAAACCCTAAACCCTAAACCCTAAACCCCAAACCCCAACCCCCAAACCCCACGCCAGCCCAGACACGTACGACGCGGGGATGTAGGAGCTGCAGTTGTAGAGGATACCGCAATCGCTCGCCAGGATGGCAATCACCGGCCTGCTCGGCCTAAACCCTAAACCCTAAACCCTAAACCCTAAACCCTAAACCCTAAACCCTAAACCCTAAACCCTAAACCCTAAACCCTAAACCCTACAGTAAACCCTAAACCCTAAACCCTAAACCCTAAACCCTAAACCCCGAGCCCTAAGCCCTAAGCCCTAGTGGTACCCTACTTGGAGATTCAGAGGTAGTCATAATAAGGGATATACGTGCCCTAAATCAGGTTAAAGAAAATATGTACATGTATATATTCAGAGTTTGAGTTTTGACTTCAGGGATTAGGGATTAGGGTTTAGGGTTTAGGGTTTAGGGTTTGGGGTTTAGGGTTAGGGTGTAGGGTTTAGGCTTTGGGGGGTTTAGGCTTTGGGGGGTTTAGGGCTTAGGGTTTAGGGCTCAAGGGTTTTGTTTGGGGTTTAAGTTGTTTTGGGATTCTTTGGATAGGTTTAGGAATTGAGGTTCAAGGGTTGTAGGGCTTCAGGATTTTGAGGGTTTAGGGGTTTGAAGGCTTTAAGGGACTTTATGGCTTCAGAGCTTTGGGGCTTTAGGGTTCAGGGTTCAGGGCTTTAGAGTTTTAGGGCTCAGGGCTGGCAAGGCTTCCCCCCGCTATCCCGAAGCCCTGAAACGCGCCTGTCGTTGATCGGGGGAGCCGCGCTGCTCCGCAGGGACGTGGGAGGATCCGGCCCGGGGCCCAAGCGCCCGAGGCCAAGGAAGCAAAGCACCTCCAAGGTTTAGGGTTTCGGGCTTGGGGGTTTAGGGTTTTGGGCTTTGGGTTTGGGGTTTCGGGTTTCGGGTTTGGGGTTTAGGGTTTAGGGTTAGGGGTTTAGGGTTTAGGGTTTGGCGTTTAAAGGGTTTAGGGTTTAGGGATTAGGGCTTGGGGTTTTGCGCAATTCAAGTGGGCTGAGAGGGCCCTGTCTTTGGGGTGCTGGGCCATGTCAAGCCTGCCCGAAGGCCTGCTTTGTTTGGCGTGTACGAGGCCCTAGGTCCTAAACCCTAAACCCCCTAAACCCTTTCCTGAACCTCAAACCCTAAACCCTAAACCCCAAACCCGAAACCTTACACCCCTAAAACCCCAAACCCGGAACCCTAGACACCTAACCCCTACACCCCAAACCCCAAACCCCAAACCCGAAACCCTAAACCCCAAACCGTAAGCCCCAAACCCTAAACCCCAAACCCTAAACCCGAAACCCGAAACCCGAAACCCAAAACCCTAACCCCAAACCCCAAACCCTAAACCCCAAACCCTAAACCCCAAACCCTAAACCCCAAACCCTAAACCCTAAACCCCAAACCCTAAACCCTAAACTCTAAACCCCTAAACCCTAAACCCTAAACCCTAAACCCCCAAACCCCTAAAACCCTAAAACCCTAAACCCCAAACCCTAAACCCTAAACCCCAAACCCTAAACCCTAAACCCCCAAACCCTGATCTTCACAGGTTTGCGGCGGTGCGCCGGCAGCCACACCAGGCTCGCCAGCGCGGCGCCCGCCGCCATGCCTGAGGAGCTGCTTGGGGTTTAGGGTTTAGGGTTTAGGGTTTAGGGTTTAGGGTTTAGGGGTTAGGGGTTAGGGTTTAGGGTTTCGGGTTTAGGGTTTAAGGTTTGAGGCTTAGGGATTTGGGGTTTAGGGTTTGGGGTTTAGGGTTTGGGGTTTGGGGTTTGGGGTTTAAGGTTTAGGGTTTCGGGCTTCGGGTTTAGAATGTTCTTCTGAGCTTGCTCAGCAACGCCCGGCCTGGCAATTGTGGCGAGCTCATGCTGCGGTAGCCTGGCAGAGAGAAGAGACCCCTAAAAACCCCTAGGGATTAGGATTTAGGGTTAAGGGTGTAGTGTGTAGGGTTTAGGGTTCAGGGTTTAGGGTTCAGGGTTTAGGGTTTAGGGTTTAGGGTTTAGGGTTTCGGGTTCAGGGTTTAGGGTTTAGGGTCTCGGGCTGAACCCTAAACCCGTCAGGGTTCCACCTGGAGCCCCACTGCCCTCAGCACCGGTCGTCCCTGCAAGTTCCCCATTGGTCGCACAAGAGGCTTTAGGGTTCAGGGTTTAGGGTTTAGGGTGTAGGGTGTAGGGTTTAGGGTTTAGGGTTTAGGGTGTAGGGTGTAGGGTTTAGGGTTTAGGGTTTAGGGCTTAGGGTTTAAGAGGGTTTCAGGGTTTAGGGTTAAGGGGAACCTAAGGCAAGACCAGTAGTGAAAATTCCGACCCCTCTAGAAAGCAGCTGCGCCTGCGTCTTCGGCCTCCGAGCGGTCACAAAGCCGCCGCAGGGAGCCTCCCATGGCCTCGGGATTTGGGCTTTTGGGGCTCTGGTGTGTAGGGTTTCGGGTTTAGGGTTTAGGGTTCAGGGTTCAGGGTGTTTAGGGTTTAGGGTTTAGGGTTTAGGGTTTAGGGTTTAGGGTTTAGGGTGTAGGGCTCAGGGTTTAAGGAGGCGTTTTGATTCGACGCGTAGCTTGAACCATCTATGGCAGTGTTCCCACCACGGCCACACCGTCTCCGCCCCTCAGCTGCCCAGGACCCTAACCTTTAGGGTTCAGGGTTCAGGGTGTTTAGGGTTTAGGGTGTAGGGTGTAGGGTTTAGGGTTTAGGGCTTAGGGTTTAAGAGGGTTTCAGGGTTTAAGGGTTAAGGAGAACCACGGAGAAGAGCACGGTCTTCGAACCCAAAACCCTAAATTCCCTAAACCCCAAAACCGTAATGCCTCAAGCGCCCTAGTAACTTGAGATTGTTGCGAGGTTAGAAACCTGAACTCTATTCATGGAGGTTCATGGTACTTACGAACCAAAGTATAACTGTACTTACAACCCTACTTATCATACCCCTAAAGGGCCTTATAGGGGTTATCCCACTTATAGGCCTTGTAGGGGTTATCCCACTTATAAGTAGGGTTCCAAGTACAGTTATGATTGGTTAGTAAGTACCATGAACCTTCAAGTAACCCCTCTCCCTTGCTAGGCCCCAGGCTCGGGCCGCTGAAGTGCCCACAAGCGCAGGATTCAAAGCAGGCAGCTTTTTGTGGTGCAGGATTGGAGGTTCGGGGTTTAGGGTTTAGGGTTTAGGGTTTAGGGTTTAGGGTTTAGGGTTTAGGGTTTAGGGTTTAGGGTTTAGGGTTTAGGGTTTAGGGTTTAGGGTTTAGGGTTTAGGGTTTAGGGTTTAGGGTTTAGGGTTTAGAGTTCAAGGCTTTATTGGGTTGAGGGCTTTTGGGGGGTTCTAGGGGCTAGGACTTCAGGGGTGAGGGTCTTGGGGCCTGGTTCGGTTTTCAGGGCTTTCAGCTGAGGGTTTTCATGACAGGCCCGTCGCGGGGGGTGAGCATGAAATGCTGTCGGCGGTTGCTGACCATCTGTCGTGGGAGAGTTCTGGACGGGAAGGAGGGCAAGAAACGGCGTTACGTTCAGCAGCATCGCGAAAGCATAGGCTGCGTAGACAACAAAAGCAAACGCCACAACTCACAAAGTTCCCATGCAAAGCGTCCCGGTCCAAGCGCAGGCAATCCAGGCAAGGCGCCCCAAAGCCGAATCTCACTGGCGCCCCAGATCCCTAAACCGCCCCCTCTGCACCCCAAAATCGCAAGCCCCAGAACTGCAGGATCGAACTAACCCTGAACCCTAAACCCTAAACCCCAAACCCCAAACCCTAAACCCCAAATAGAATGTAACGGGCACTCAACCGGAATGTGAACCCGACTCCATATGGCTCGACCCTAGAGCCCTGAGCCCCAGATCCGGAACCCTGACTCCTCAAGCCGCACAGCCCCAAAGCGCGCCCCCGAGCCCTGAGACCCAAACGCTCGGAAACCTTCAAGCCCTAAACCCTAAACCCCTAAACCCTAAACCCGTAACCCCTAAACCCTGAACCCTCAACATCCTACGGTACTCCCCGAAACCCAGAACGGCAAGCACCCCAATCCCCAAAACCCTCACTCCTAACCCTCAACTCTAAGGCCTCAATCCTAAACCCCCAGCCCTAATCCTAAACCCTAAACCCCAAACCCCAAACCCCAACCTTTAAACCCTAAACCCCAAACCCCAACCTTTAAACCCTAAACCCTAAACCCCAAACCCCAACCTTTAAACCCTAAACCTTAAACCCTAAGTTCTTGTGCGGGGTCCTCGCGGCTCCTAGCAGCCTCGGGAGCTGGCTCGGGGAGGCCCTCGCGCTGGGCCAAGGCCTGCGTTTAGGGGTTTAGAGTTTAGGGCTTCGGGTTTAGGGTTTTACCCCTCTGCGAGAAGCGAAACCTGAAATGACTCAGGATTTAGGGCTTAGGTTTAGGGCTTAGGTTTAGGGCTTAGGGCTTAGGGCGGTTCTCTCTTTTGGGGATCCTGTTAAAATAAACCCCAAACCCCTGACACCCCGAAAGCCGAAACCCTAAACCCCCAACCCTGAACAACCCCACACAGGGGGGAGGGCTGCCAGCGGCAACCACTCAACCCTAAACCCTCAACCCTCAACCCTAAACCCTAAACCCCAAACCCTAAACCCTAAGCCCTAAACCCCTAAACCCTAAACCCTAAACCCTCAAACCCTAAACCCTCAAACCCTCAAACCCTCAACCCTCAAACCCTAAACCCTAAACCCCAAACCCTAAACCCTCAAACCCTCAAACCCTCAAACCCTAAACCCTCAACCCTAAACCCTCAAACCCCAAACCCTAAACCCTCAACCCTCAAACCCTCAAACCCTCAAACCCTTAACCCTAAACCCTAAACCCTCAACCCTAAACCCTAAACCCTCAACCCTCAAACCCTAAACCCCAACCCGGGGTGGCCTTCAGCTCCTTGACTTCGCGGCTGAACCGTGCCTCATCCCGGAGAGGTGCCATGAGGTCCTGCAAAGGCCAGAGGCTTTGGGGTTTTGGGGTCTAGGGTTTGGGGTTTTGGGGGTTTTGGGGGTTTTGGGGGTTTTGGGGGTTTAGGGTTTAGGGTTTAGGGTTTAGGGTTTAGGGCTTAGGGCTTAGGGTTTAGGGTTTAGGGTTTAGGGTTTAGGGTTCAAACAAACCAGTGACACCGACGGCTTGAGCGGGAGGCCTCGATGGACACCTCCCCCACGGGCGGCACGTGGAACTCATTCTCAGGCATGGCCTTCAGGCTTGGGGGTTTAGGGTTTGGGGTTTAGGGTTTAGGGCTTGCGGTTTGGGGTTTGGGGTTTAGGGTTTAGGGTTTAGGGCTTGGGGTTTGGGGTTTAGGGTTTGGGGTTTGGGGTTTAGGGTTTAGGGTTCAGGGTTCAGGGTTTAGGGTACCAAGGGAATTGAGGCTACAAGAAGGCATGGCAACGGCAACTCAACTTACAACCCCGCTTGTACCCCGAGCCCTTTTAAACCCAACACCCTAAACCTCAAGCAAATTTCAAAAGGGGAACCCTACAGCCTTAAACCCTGAAATCCCCTAGTCCTTAAACCCTAAACCCTAAACCCTAAACCCGTACCCAAACCCTTGCAAAACAGGTCCCAAAGCAAGCCCTGATTCTGAGGTTCTCTTGTGGGTGCCCATAGGTTGCCATGACAAGTTGGGATGTTCCTGCTGATACTAACAGTCCTTACTAGGGATTATTATCGTACCCCTAAACCCTATACCCTAAACCCTAAACCCTAAACCCTAAGCCCTAAACCCTAAACCCTAAACCCTAAGCCCTAAACCCTAAGCCCTAAACCCTAAACCTCAACCCTAAACCCTAAGCCCTAAACTCCAAACCCTAAACCCTAAACCCTAAACCCAAAACCCTAAACCCTAAACCCCAAAGATACGCCGGAACGCCCCCCCGATCGACCTCACGTCGCTTCGTCTCCACAGACTCCGTAGGCTCCTGGGGATTTTGGGCTTTAGTGGCTTAGGGTTGCGGGTTCAGGGGTTTAGGGGTTTAGGGTTTAGGGTTTAGAAGTGCTTAAGGTTTAGGGTTTAGGTTTTAGGGTTTAAGGTTCAGGGTTTAGGGCTTAGGGTTTAGGATTTAGGGTTTAGAGTTTAGGGTTTAGAAGTGATTTCGGAGCTTAGGGGGTTGTTTCGGAGTTTAGGGGGTTGGGGCTTAGGGCTTAGAACTTGGAGTTTAGGGTTTTGGGTTTGGGGTTTAGGGTTTGGGGTTTAAGGTTTGGGGTTTAAGGGATTCGGTGGGGGCTTAGGGGATTCGGTGGCTTCTGGGAGGTTTGGCGCTAAGGGTTTGGCGCTAAGCGGTTGGGGTTACTGCATGGCTTTCGGGCGTTGGGGCTTCATGGGGCCCAGAATGCTCGCAGTAGTCTCAGTTGCCACACCAGTAGTATGTGTTTTGCTGGGGTAGTTGTGCTGATCTTATACAGAATGAACCAGCGCTCCTGATTTCTTTGGTGGCGGAAGCAGAACCAGAGGCCCTTTTGCTTGAAAACAATTACGGTTGCTAGGCCCTCGGTTTAGTTTGAACCCCTCAACCGTAAGCCCTAATCCCTAAACCCTAAACCCCAAACCCCGAACCCGAAACCCTAAACCCTAAACCCCAAACCCCAAACCCGAAACCCTAAACCCTGAACCCTGAAGGCCTTCGTTTCGGAGCAGCTCCCTTCGAGGAAGCCTAGATGCCTCATGCGCGTGTGCCCCTACCAAAGAACCAAACAAGTTTCAAAAGCACGACCTTACCTCTGTTATTATCAAGAGACGAAAGGAGGGACCTTTAGAAGGGACCTTAGGGGTTACTTGGGGGCTACTTAGGTGTAGAGGGACGATGTAAGGTACATATAGGGGAGATATATGTGGGCTATTTAGGCTAATAAGATTGAGGGTCCCTTCAAGGGGTCCCTCTTTATACCCCTTAATAATACCCGGCCCCGGAGCCCTAAAGCGCAAGGCCCCTGAACCCTGAACCCTACACCCGAGAAAGCACGTGCCTCTGAAGATGTTGGGGGTCCAAGATGGAGGGCAAATCTCAGGGTCTATGCCACCCAGGCGATGATGGGTGGTGGGCCGAGAGTATGGGTACTGCACTCTATGCGGGATGCACAGGGAGTATTTTGGGGATTCACACCCGCCTTTAGGCACGAGTAACTTTAAGGTGTCAACCCACCCTCGAAATCAGATCCTTCGACAGCGCGGTCAGCGTGCGAATGAGTCGATCGGAGGCCTGCCCCAACCCGCAGAGAGAAAAAGGAGGAACCTGTTGATGGAATGAGTTTAGGGTTAACACTTGAAGGGCTCAGGGTAGTTCTGGGTATCGGGTTTGGGGTTTAGGGTTCAGGTCCTAAAGTTTAGGTTGCGTAACACTAGAAAATTTGCGCAGTGGCTCTCAATGGTGACATCGAGACTCTGCGGCTATGTATTTGGGGAGACAGGATCGCGGCTCCCATAAGGGTGTCTTTTCCCGGTTTAAGGGCGCCATATACTGGAACCCTAAACATTAAACCCTAAACCCTAAACCCCTAACCCCTAAACCCTAAACCCTAAACCCTAAACCCTAAACCCTAAACCCTAACCAAAACGGGACCCTGCAGAGAGCTACTCTAGGGGCCTTAACAATTAGAATAGGGCTTCGGAGGTTATTGCAGTATAAATATCTAGGGACCATAAGGGAACACTACCAGTAATTTTTCCGAAACCTAAAACAGCCCTCTCGGCTCGCACTTGTCCCGCCTCTGCCCCCGGCTCACTGTCATCGTCGTCCTCCAAGCTGCCGGGATCGAACCGAAGGTTAGATAAACCCCTAGACACTAGACCCTGAACCCTCACCCCAAAAACCCTAAACCCCAAACCCCAAAAACCCCAAACCCCAAGAACCCAAAACCCCAAACCCTAGGGCTGAGGGTGGCTGAAAACCCCTAAAACCCCTAAAAACCCTCAAAACCCTAAACCCTAAACTATAGGAGACCCGAAACCTAAATACCCTGTAAAGCACCCTAACTTCATGGGTTTCCCTCTATACTACCCCCCTTAAATTCTCCCTGTAAATCACCTTCACTTTCCCCAAATAGCCTTAATTATGGTAGTATAGAGGGGGGTAGTACTTGGAGGTTCATGGTACTTCTTAACCAATTATAACTGTACTTATAACCCACTTATAAGTGCAGTTACTATTTGGTTAGTAAGTAACACGAACCTCCAAGTAGGGGAACCCAAAATACATGTACGAGTGGCCCCAGGTGGGGACCCTGAGCCGAGACGAGAAACCTATTGAAACTAAACACTTCCCAGAGTATATACACCCAGCAGCCGTGAAAACAAAAGACACACCCTAAACCCTAAACCCTAAACCCTAAACCCTAAACCCCAAGTAAAGAACAGCGGGCTCCTCCAGGTCAACCTCCAGCTCGGGAGCTCCCTGGCGCGCACAAGCAAGCAACTTCGAGTTTTGGGGTCTTGGGATAGGGGTTTGTTTAGGGTTTAGGGTTTAGGATTCAGGGTTTGGGGTTTAGGGTTTGGGGTTTGGGGGTCTAAGGTTTGAGGCTTAGGGTTTAGGGGTTTGGGTTTTGGGGGTTTAGGGTCTTTGGTGGTTGGGGTCTTGGGGTTGGGGGCCTTGGGGGTTGGGGGCTTTTTGCTTTGCATGAATGCCGCCAAGTCAGAGCAGAGCGGGCTTATCTCAATGGGCAGAGATAAACTAGTCAGACAAACCTACACGCCGGGATGTTGAACGCAAGTAAGAGGTTCAAGCGATGCTGCGAAGTCAGCAACATGCCCCCTTGGGGGTTTCGGGAGTTTCGGGATTTTGTGTTTTGGCTTATTTTGGAGGGGGGGTTGGGAGGGGCGGGGGGTGAAAGTTGAGGGTTTGAAGGTTCTGGTCTTGTAGGGTTGTGGGTCTTGGGGGTTCAGTTTGAGTTTGGGGTCTGTCAGGATCTGGGGAGTTTGGGGTCTTGGCAAAGGGCTCTGGGTGTTAGGGTGAAGTGCTTGGACATAACCGGCATTTTTACGTGAATCAAGTGAATGTCCTCAGCGGCATATGTTCCAGGTATAGTCAAGCCTTGTACAGTTGGGATTGGGGACCCTTTTCAAGATTTTCTCCGCCAACACAGGAGCCTCATCAGGACGTTTCGTTACAGACTTTTGACGGAGCTATCTGGTCCCTTAATATGGTCCCTTGCCTTCTGCAAATGGCTCTGAAATATGGGACCTTGGGTTTTATAGGGTATATTCAGCGGATGACGGGGTGTACAAGGGGCATATTAGGGGATAAGGGTTCCCACTTAAGGGCACTCACAAAGGCGTGTAACGACCCTTCGAGGGTTTACCCTAAACCCTAAACCCTAAACCCTAAACCCTAAACCCTAAACCCTAAACCCTAAACCCTAAACCCTAAACCATGGCCCGCTGCCTCTGCGTCGTGGGCGCCCAGGGCAGCCAGCATGTCTTCCGTGCTCGGGCCCTACACACGACACAGGCTTTGGTGGGTTTAGGGTTTAGGGTGTAGGGTTTAGGGTTTAGGGTTTGGGGTTTGGGGTTTGGGGTTTGGGGTTTAGGGTTTAGGGTTTAGGGTTTAGGGTTTAGGTGTTTGAGGTTTAGGGTTTAGGGTTTAGGGGTTTCAGGATTTCGGGTTTACAAGCCCTGAACCCCGAGACCTAAAACCCCTGAACCCTCCGCAAGACCTAAGACCGTTACCCGATAAGTAGGGTTGCAAATAGGATTGCCATAAATCAACCCTAAACCCTAAACCCGAAACCCTTATAACTACAGAAATGCCTGTATGGAACCTTGCTTAAGGTAGGATACCCTATAGGGTTTAGGGTTTAGGGTTTAGGGTTTGGGGTTTGGGGTTTGGGGTTTGGGGTTTTAGGGTTTAGGGTTTAGGGTTTAGGGTTTAGGGTTTAGGGTTTAGGGATGTTTAGGGTTTCGAACTCTACCCTAAATGCCAAACCCTCGACCCTAAACCCTAAACCCCCAACTACCCATGAACCTTCGAAGACCCGGACAACATCTCAGTCCAACAAAAAGCCTAAACCCCAAACCCTAAAATCCTAAACCCAATCCCTACACCCCAAACCCTAAGCCCCTAACCCTAAACCCCAAAACCCTAAACTCCAGAACTAAACCCCAAACCCCTAAACCCCAAACCCAAACCCTACAAACCCTAAACCCCACACCCTTGAAACCATAAACCCCACACCCTACAAACCCTACGAACCCTGGCCTTGGCCCTGGCCTTGGCCTTGGCCTTGGCCTTGACCTTAACCTTCCGACGCTTGGGCCTCTTCTGGAGCGGCTTTTGTGGGGTCTTTAGGGTTTAGGGTTTAGGGTTTAGGGTTTAGGGTTTAGGGTTTAGGGTTTAGGGTTTAAGATTTAGGGTTTAGGGGTTTCAACCCACAAGGGCCCCTGAAGGACCCTTGAGACCCCCGAAGTTTCGGTGCTGGCCCTGGCCTCGGGCCCTTTGAAAGCTTAATGTGCATGGGTTAAGGGCGTAAAGGTTTTAGGGTTTGGGGTTCAGGGTTTGGGGTTTAGGGTTTAGGGTTTAGGGCTTAGGGCTTGGGGTTTGGGGTTGGGGTTTAGGGTTAGGGAGGGAAGCCTTCTGGGGCTTAACCCTGGCATGAGTTTGGATCCTGGCATGGGGTTTGGGGGAAAACGCAATTGAACCAGGTTTGTGGGCTGGCCCGAACAGGAGAAACTACAACTGGCTGTTGCGGTGCCTTGATACGTTTGGACATGCCCGAAAAAACCATGGTGCATCCTTAAGGTTTCAGGACAAAATCTGGACAATGGTGGTTGTGATTCATCCCTTCCCTTTGCGCCATTGCACGAGCATAGAATATACAATAGAATACTTATATTATATCTCATATAACAATGTATAAAATACAGTGCTATAATTTATATATTTATGTAGTATATATATATATATGGTCAGCCCCCCCCCCATGATCCACACCTATGGTTTTCTTGTCTTCGTCTTTGTCTGAATTTCTGCTTTTTCCTCGGAAAAATGCAGTCAAAACTGCACTGGAATACACAAAGCTCTAGTATATTATCCTCTATAAAAACACTAGTGTTTTTTATGTGCATGTTGCTTCTGAAACTTGTGTCTTGCGGCCCCATAAAATTTTTGAAGGGTAGCAATTAGAAGTTTAAGGCTTTTCAGGGTTTTAGGGGTTTGTAAAATTTAGCTGATCTGTGCAAGGCACCGGGGCTTCCCCAGAGCAATTTTAAAAATCCTTTAAAGGGGCAGCCCTTTTCAAATTTGAAGGGTGTTAAGGTACTTAAAGCCTTTCAAAATTTTCAAGGCTTAAAGGATCTTAAAAGGCTTTAAAGCCCTTAAAAACCTCGAAACGTTTATCCCTTAAAAGGCTAAAATTCCTTAAAATGAAAAACGGGCAGCCGTTTAAAATTAAGGAAGTTACGGATTTTCGAAAAGGACAGCCATTTACAACTGCAAGAATTTCAGGGTTTTACGGATTTGTCAAAATTGTTAAGGTACTTGAAGCCTTTCAAAATTTTCAAGGCTTAAAGGATCTTAAAAGGCTTTAAAGCCCTTAAAAACCTCGAAACGTTTATCCCTTAAAAGGCTAAAATTCCTTAAAATGAAAAACGGGCAGCCGTTTAAAATTAAGGAAGTTACGGATTTTCGAAAAGGACAGCCATTTACAACTGCAAGAATTTCAGGGTTTTACGGATTTGTCAAAATTTATATGTTCTGGGGAAGGCACCGGGGCTTCTCCAGACCATTGGCAACTTCAAAAATCTCTAAAATCCGCAAAGGGCAGCCACTTAAATACGTAAGCAATTTACGGTCTTTAATAGGCTTAAAAGTCTTAAAACCTTCATAATCCTGAGAATGTTTAAACAGAAGCTTAAAGATTTTTATAAGATTTTAAGGATTTTCAAAGTTTAGATGGTCTGGGGGAAGCCCCAGTGCCTTCCCCAGATCATGTAAACTTGCAAAAACCCTTAAACCCTTAACCCTAAAAACTTAACACTAAGCCCGTAGCACAAACCCCAAACACTTAACATGAAACCCTAAACACTAACTCCTAAAAACTTAACACTAAGCCCTTAGCACAAACCCCAAACACTTAACATGAAACCCTAAACACTTAAGCACTAGACCCTAAACACTAAACCCTAAACACGTAAACACTACACCCGACCCTAAAAACTAAACCCTAAAAACTAAACCCTAAACATTACACACTAAACCCTACACACTAAACCCTGAACACTAGTAAAAATCCTTAAAACCCTTAATCCAAAAAACCAAACCCGAAACCCTTAACACTAAACCCTAAACACTCAGCACTAGACCCTAAAGAGTAACCCTAAAAAACTTAACACTAGGCGCCCACGAACCCCAAACACTTGACACGAAACCCTAAACACATAAGCACTACTAAACCCTAAAAATTCAGCACCATACCCTAAACACGAACCCTAAAAACTTAACACTAAGCCCTTAGCACAAACCCCAAACACTTAACAGGAAACCCTAAACACTTAAGCACTAGACCCTAAACACTTTACCCTAAACACTTAAACACTACACCCTAAAAACTAAACCCTAAACATTACACACTAAACCCTACAAACTAAACCCTGAACACTAGCAAAAACCCTTAAAACCCGCAACCCAAAAAAGAAACCGAAACCCTTAGCACTGAACCCTAAACACTCAGCACTAGACCCTTCACACTAAGCCTAAAAGCTTAACACTAAGCCCTTAGCACGAACCCCAAACACTGAACACGAAACCCTAAACACTTAAGCACTAATCCCTTTCTAAACACTAAACCTAAAACACTTAAACACTACACGCTAAAAACTAAACCCTAAACATTACACACTAAACCCTGAAAACTAAACCCTAAACCCTAAACAGAAGGATTTTCAAGTTGTCAATGGTCGTCTGGGGAAGCCCCGTTGCCTGCCCCAGATCATTTAAATTTGTAAACATTCTTACAACCCTTAACCCTAAAAAACCAAACCCGAAACCCTTAACACTAAACCCTAAACACTAACCCTAAAAACTTAACACTAAGCCCTTAGCACAAACCCCAAGCACTTAGCACGAAACCCTAAACACTTAAGCACTTAACCCAAAAACTAAACCTTAAACGTTTCAAACTAAACCCTAAACATTAGACACTAAACCCTGAACACTAAACCCTAAACCCTAAACAGTAAACCCCAAAGCCGGAACCTCGAGCCCTACTAAATCTACACCTGAAACCAAAAACCCGTCGGGGTTTCAGATGCTTACTGTTTGGATATCAGAGTTTGAGTTTTTTTGGGGTTTTAGCCGAGCCGCTTGACCCTAAACCCTAAACCCTAAACTTAACACTCAACCCTAAACACAAAACACTAAACCCTGAAACCTACACACTAAACCCTAAACACTAGATTTCCAGAAAAAATCTGGAGTACCCGGGCCCCGGACTCCAGACTCCAGATTTCCAGAAAAAATCTGGAGTACCCGGGCCCCGGACTCCAGACTCCAGATTTCCAGAAAAAATCTGGAGTCCAGACTCCAGATTTCCAGAAAAAATCTGGAGTACCCGGGGCCCCGGACTCCAGACTCCAGATTTCCAGAAAAAATCTGGAGTACCGGGGCCCCGGACTCCAGACTCCAGATTTCCAGAAAAAATCTGGAGTACCCGGGGCCCCGGACTCCAGACTCCAGATTTCCAGAAAAAATCTGGAGTACCGGGGCCCCGGACTCCAGACTCCAGATTTCCAGAAAAAATCTGGAGTACCGGGGCCCCGGACTCCAGACTCCAGATTTCCAGAAAAAATCTGGAGTACCGGGGCCCCGGACTCCAGACTCCAGATTTCCAGAAAAAATCTGGAGTACCGGGGCCCCGGACTCCAGACTCCAGATTTCCAGAAAAATCTGGAGTACCGGGGCCCCGGACTCCAGACTCCAGATTTCCAGAAAAAATCTGGAGTACCCGGGGCCCCAGACTCCAGACTCCAGATTTCCAGAAAAAATCTGGAGTACCCGGGGCCCCAGACTCCAGACTCCAGATTTCCAGAAAAAATCTGGAGTACCCGCGGCCCCAGACTCCAGATTACAAACTCCAGAATCTGGAGTCCAGATACTCCAGATTTTTTCTGGAAATCTGGAGTCTGGAGTCCGGGGCGCCGGTACTCCAGATTTTTTCTGGAAATCTGGAGTCTGGAGTCCGGGGCCCAGGTACTCCAGATTTTTTCTGGAAACCTGGAGTCTGGAGTCTGGGGGTACTCCAGATTTTTTCTGGAAATCTGGAGTCTGGAGTCCGGGGGTACTCCAGATTTTTTCTGGAAATCTGGAGTCTGGAGTCCCCCCCCCTCCCAAAACCCCCTTCCCGAGGCCAAATGTGTGGATCATGGGGGGGGGGGCTGACCATATATATATATATATATATATATATATATATATATATATATATATACGTACAGAGAGAGAGAGAGAGAGAGAGAGAGAGAGTATATAACCCCAAGACAGGCCGCGGTGGCCAGGAGCTGTTTCTTCTCAACCACCAAATTCCCACTCCCAACAACTCAACAAAACCCCTCCAAACCCTTGGCCTCCCATAACTCAACAAAACCCCTCCAAACCCCTGGCCTCCAATAACTCAACGAAACCAACAATTCAACCAAAACCCTCCAAACCCCTGGCCTCCAAGTAACGACTGTAAGGAAGCCGTCTTTTTCGATGTCGGCAGGACACCAGAAATAGAACCCTGAAACCCTACAACACCCAAACCCTAAACCCTAACCAACAGCCCTAGCCCCCCCCCCTCCTCCTCCGACCAACCCCGGACCCCCCGAGATTGGACTCTGAGGAGTCTCAGGCACTGGGTTTAGGGTTTAGGCGCGAAAAGCTTTAAAGCCAAACCTTCCGACCCTCAACTCGGAGGTCCGGAGAGGCCTCTTTGCCGAAGCCCCGCTCTCGCCGACCACCGGCATGTCGGCCTTGAGGGTTTAGGGTTTAAGGGGAGGGGCGCGGGGAGGGGGGGCGGGGGAGGGGGGGAGGGGGGGGAGGGGGGGGGGGGGGGGGGGAGGGGGGGGAGGGGGGGGGAGCGGGGGGAGGGCTTAGTAGAGTTTAGGGTTTAGGGTTCAGGGTTCAGGGTTTAGGGGTTAGGGTTTAGGGTTTAGGGTTCAGGGTTTAGGGTTTAGGGTTTAGGGTTTAGGGTTTAGGGTTTAGGGTTTAGAGTTTAGGGTTTAGGGCCTTTCTTTCTTTCTTTCTGAAATTCTTTCGTTCTTTCGTTCTTTCGTTCTTTCGTTCTTTCGTTCTTTCGTTCTTTCGTTCTTTCGTTCTTTCGTTCTTTCGTTCTTTCTTGGTCTGTGTCTATGGAAATACACGGAAAATAGAGGTTTTGGTACGAAAATGAAGAGAAAACTAGGGGGACAATACAAGTTTCCCTCTGTTTCTAAGACAACACAGAACCCCCCCCCCACCCCACAAAAACAAAGGCAACAAAAAACATAAAAAGTGCCAAAAAAAATGGTCCGCCGGGGGACCTCGAGTACAGACCCCCCCCCCCAAATGGCAGGATACGCCTAGGGCCTAGAATCAGGACCCCAAGAAGGTACCCCTAATGAGCACTCAAGGTTCAAGGTTTCGGGCTTTTATTAGGGAAGTTACACGTCTAGGGGCCATGTTCAGGGCCCCTGAAACTACCCTCAGTTTTTTGGGGGGATGAAAGCGCCGAGGGTTTTTGAGTTTAGGGCGCAGGGGTTAAGGGTTCAAGGGCTTCAAGGCTTTTAAGTTTTAGGAGGGTTCTGGGCTAAGGGTTTAAGTTTGGGGTTTGGGGTTGGGGGTTTGGGGGCTATACTCGACTGGGGTTTAGGGCTTCGGGCTTAGGTCTTAGGGTTCCGCGTTTCTCTAAACCCTAAACCCTAAACTGCCCGAAACCCTAAACCCTCAACCCTAAACCCTAAACCCTAAACCCCCCCAAAAAAGAAAACCACCGAAGGCCCGTCCTTCGGCTTCGACTTCGCCATGCCGGGGCGAGAAAGGTTAAGTTTGGGGTTTAGGGTTAGGGTTTAGGGTTTAGGGTTTAGAGTTTAGGGTTTAGGGTTTAGGGTTTAGGGGTCTAGGGGTCTAGGGGTCTTGGGGTTTGGGGTTGAGGGTTTAAGAGTTTGGGGGCCCAAGGGTGTAGGGGTTGCCCCAAACCTTCAACAAAGTTTGGCAAGCTGCAGGCTGCACGACACAACAGGAAATGTCAGGGCGATGCCGATGATGAGGAACATCCGCGCAGAAACCCGAAACCCTACACCCTAAACCTTAGACCCTAAACCCTAAACCCTCAACCCTAGCCTTCTTGCAAGGCCCTAACCCTAGACTCATAAATTCCCCTGCTACCCCCCTCTGTACTACCCCTCCCAGGTTCCCAGGCTTTTAAACCAGACTTAAGCCGAATTAAGGGGTAGCATTGAGGAGGGTAGTAGGGAAACCCATGACAGTCGGGTTCAGCACTGCTACAGGTGAGTAGGTTTGGAAGTAGGACAACCAGAGCTACACCTTTGTAACCCTAAACCCTAAACCGTGAACCCTAAACCCCCTCATAAAGCCACCCACCTTCCAGGTGTGGTGCAGTCCCTGCAGCGAAGGCTACCAAAAGGCCCCCTCAAACGTCTGAAGGGGCGCGCGGTATCCTTGTGGCAAAACAGCCATGACACACCGCGACCATGAACACTCAAGGGCCTAGGTTTAGGGTTTTTCTTAGGGTAGTTACACGGTCCCCTAGTATGGGCCCTGAAACAGGGGACTCCTTACAAACCCCTTACATAGAGTATAACAACCCCAGGGCCCATACCTTCAGAACCTTGAAAGGAGGTAAGGGACCATGTTCAGGGCCCATATAACTAACTATACCCTTAGAGTCCTGGACGCAGCCAGCTCCTTCCTATTTTCAAGCGATGGTTTGGCACATGGCCGGGTCCGCTTTGGCTGCCCCGCCCGCGCCTGCAGCAAGGATTCAGGGCTTGTGGCTGTACAGTCAGGATGAAGCCCGGGCTTTAGGGTTTCGGGTTTAGTGTTTTGATTTTAGGGTTTAGAGTCTAGAGTGTAGGGTTTAGGGTCAAGCTGCAGGGAAACACAAGGTAGAAAGCCTGAACGGTAGCTCCGCGTTTCGGGCTCCGTTTCCTTCCAAGCCACATACTCCGTACATAAGCTCACGCACGAGTTCTTGACAAAGCATCTCAAAGCCTCTTTAGACTTTAGACAGCACCCTGAAAGCCCAAACATACCCAAATCCTGCAACATCCTCAGGTCCGGAGCAATAGACATAAATCATCCAACTGCGCCAAACTCAGCCTGCAAACCGCGAAAAACTGCTGCATCCCTGCACAAGATGCCTGCTGGCGATGCAACCCCAATGAGTTCTGGGGTAATCTTTGGGGCAAGGGCACGGACCAGACAATCGGTTAATGGGTGGACTGCACGCCGAGACCTGTATGTATCTGGTATCTATACACGGTCCTGAAATGCATTCACTGCAGCTTGATCCACCTAAACCCTAAACCCTAAACCCTAAACCCCAAACCCTAAACCCTAAACCCTGAACCCTAAACCCTAAACCCCAAACCCTAAACCCTAAACCCCAGACTTCAACAAGTTCCCTTTGGACTTTGGCCATTCGCGGGAGCTTCCACCCGCCACTTCCTCCTTCCCCTTCTCCCGAGCAGTCTCGAAAACACCAACTGTTGGGGGCTACCAAAATAAGGGTTTAGGGTTTAGGGTTTAGGGTTTAGGGTTTAGGGTTTAGGGTTCAACAAAAATAGACTCCCAAATAGTGTAGGGTTCCTTTAATCCTAGAGACCCCAGTAAGGCACCCTCATTTCGGAAACCACCACGCAGAGGTCATGCGATCCTGATCCACTCAAGCTTGCACACTTCAACCCCTGAGGCTTTAAGGGCTCCACCCGGGCAAAGCTTGCGGCCGGACATGAGACCCAGACCCCTCTACCTTTAGGGTCTTTTTTGGGTTTAGGGTTTAGGGTTTAGGGTTTAGGGTTTAGGGGTTTAGGGGTTCAGGGGTTCAGGGGTTTAGGGTTTAGGGTTTAGGGTTTAGGATTTAGGGTTTAGGGCATGCTGCGGCAAGCGAAGTGGCTGCAACAGCCTTGCCATGGCCGTGCCTGCTCGCCCTCCAAGCAGCGCCAAACATCCCAGGCCTGCAAAAGAAGTGCAGGAGTGATCCAATTCCCACACACAAGGACGCCTTGCTTGTTAGGGTTTAGGGTTTAGGGTTTAGGGTTTAGGGTTTAGGGTTTAGGGTTTAGGGTTTAGGGTTTAGGGTTTAGGGTTTAGGGTTTAGGGTTTAGGGTTTAGGGTTTAGGGTTTAGGGTTTAGGGTTTTCGGGGTGGGCTACCATGAGCGGTTGACTTGTTCTCACGATACAGACACAGTGCACGTGTCTACAGAGCCAGTCAGTACATGCACTCCTCAAGCTCATTTTCAGTTGGGCACCTCGACCCTTAAGCCAAAGTATACTCGGCAGCGACGACAATCTTTAGTCGGAGCGCGCAGAACGTCTGCACAGGTTCTGTGGGGACGGCGCTTTCCTTCCACGGGTTTTTGTAGATTCTTCGGGGGTCGTACATACTTCCCGCAGCTTCTCTTCTAAGGTTTACAGGAGCCAGGACACACATGACTCTAGATTCTCCCGTAAGGCGTTTGCTTAGGCACACGAAACCTGAACACACAGAGCACAGACTGCCAGACTGCACATAAGAAAGCGTCAGCAACCCCCACGCCTTGCAGGGCGCGTCGAGCGTGGAAGAGTGCTCTGACCAATACACGGCCGGAGCGCAGCGAGAGGGCGGCGCTTCCGGCGACTCTCCTTTCACCGCGTCTGAGACTCACGGGAACAGCGGCAAGCCGGAGGCTTGGTCAAGTTTCTCCATGGCATAGGAGATGAGGAGCGAAGGGTTGCGCTAAAGGCCCCAGAAGGGGAGCTTGGGAAACCAAGAAGAGCCTTTGGAACCTCCAGGGCTCCAGAGTTGGCTAAGTCAAGGCGAATCAAGGGGGCAACCACAACCTCCGCGCCTCAGCTGCGACGTTGAGAAGCAAGAGAGGCAGCGACGAAAATAGCGTCTTTGCAACCGTGCAAGCGGGCTTTTCTGCCTGCAACCGGCATGCGGGCACGTAGGGCACCTGGAAGATTGCACGCACCAGGGAGAGGCCATCACAACTTGGAGAGTATCAAGCTTTCTGCATGGCTGCAGTGGAAAGTGCCTGGGCGCAGTTTTCGGTGCAGAAGGCACGGCACTTGCTTGCATGCACCGCTGCAGACACGGAAGCCTGACGTGAAAAATGCCGTGCTCCCGCACTCCAGGCTTCACCCGCAACCGGCACGCAGGCGCAAGGGCCTCTTGCACCGGGTCGCCCGCACATGCAGGTCAGATGCCTCTGGAACCTACTTCAAGACCTGTCAAGCAGCCATGGCAGCTTGGCGTTTAAGCCTTTAAAATCCACTCGCCATCGGCAACGAACTTACCTGAAGCAATCTGAAACACATGCGAGCAGCTCGCGTCATCAGCCAATGGCTCATTCAGGTTGGGTCTGGCCGGTCAGATGGAAGCAAAGAGCGACACGCGAAGCTGACACGCCATGGCCAGGGCCAAGATGGCCAAGTGCCGGCAGCAGCCGGCAGCAGCCGGCAGCTGTCTCTCAGATGAACGTCTGAGGCCAAAACCCGGAAACTTGCGAGCGCCAAATCAAGCTTTCTGCATGGCTGCAGTGGAAAATGCGTAGGCGCAGCCCTCGGTGCAAAAGGCACGGTGCTTGCTTGCATGCATGCCAGGTCCGCTTCAGCTCTGACCCAACACCCAGACAATGCTGCAGACATGGAGGCCTGCAGCGACCCATGATGCGCTCCCACCGCACCCTCAACTGGCACGCAGGCGCAAGGGCCTCTTGCGCAAGGCCGCCTGCATCTGGAACCTACCTTAAGCACGGGCAA